AAAAAAAAAAAAAAAGTTGAAAAGAATTCTTTTGCTCTGGTCTTTTCTTCTCACTGTTGCGACTGGACCCTGAGTCAGCCGGCGACAAGGCCTCGGTGGGAAAATTGACGGGGCCACAGAATAGATAACTCATTGGAATTCTGGCAACATATTCGTAAATAAAACAAAAGTGGAGAGGCGGGCTGGGGGAGGGTGCGTGTTTCTGGGGAGGCGCGGGGCTGCGGGGGTCTGGGAGGACCCTTCCAGGGCTGGCTCCCCGACTCCCCTCTCGCAGGGGACATCTAAGATGGTCAAAGGAAAGGAATTCAGACTGTGTTGTCCAGGCTTGTTAGGCAGAGTTCTTGCAGCTGGACATGTTTATTATTGCAGCTATCAGGGTGCTCTTGCAAACACACGTTCCAAGCCCCAGAGAGCTGAAATAATCCACCTTGTTTCTTCAGAGCGGGCAGGCAAGTTCTGTGCCTCCGAAGGGGTTTCTTTTTAAAAAGGAACATTCCTGTGCACGATATTATTTTTTTCCTCCTCTTCAGGAAGAGATGTCCCCCATATTCAGTTTTCATCTGTCTTTTCCAGCCCCTACCTCCCAGGCACACTTTTGACAAAACAGCTTGGAGGGGTTTTTCTGGGCGTGATGGTATTTGCGTATGTTTCCTAATGGCAGAAACTCTCAATCTTCTAGCTGATTTTACTATTAATGTACATAGTGCGTAATCTTCTGGCCAAGATCCTGTCTCAGTTTCCCTGTCTGCAAAATGGACACAGCAAAACACCAAAGTCAGAATTTATAGTTTCCTGTATATTTTGAGTTCCTTTTCATAATGGCTTTGTTTGATACATATATTTCACATATCATGTATGAATAAACTCATCATAAAACCCGTTATAAATAAATACATCATGTCTTGATTTGGGATAAGATAAAACCTAGAATAAATAGGAAGACAATATGTTTGTAGCTGGTGTTTGAAGCTAATACCAGCATTCTTTTCTTTACTGCTGAACAATTTCAAAAGCAATACTAGGCATGAAACAAAACAAACTCATTTCAGTGCAAAGCTTATGAGTTGTTTGTGTTTCCCTGAATTCAATGGAGGGGGTGGGTGGGCAGGGAATTTATTTTAAATATAGAAGTGAAGAAAATATAACAGAGTCGGCAGAATATCTGGGAAGGCTGTGCAGCTCACAGTACAGAGTTTATTAAAGATGTGATGTAACTTGTGAATGTAGTTTTCAAAAGTAGTCATGGAGAAGACTGAAAGATCTTACTAAAAATGCTATTTTTGGCTTACATATTTGTAATTCAGATTACCAGCTGATTAACCCTTTGATAAGAGTTTCTTTAGCTGGAAATCTGTATTCCCGTCTGTCCTTAATCAGTCTAGTCACCTGACCAATAATACAGATCCAAGGGTAAACGCAATTAAATTAGAAACTGTTTGGAAGAAATGGTGAGACCTCTTTAAAAATATGCATATTTTTAACTAAGACACTTTGCTGTTCCAATCAAACACATAAATTATACAATAGGCTAATTTTCAAGAATCTGCTTTTTTTCCTAAACATCATTCAGATGGGTAGAAAAACGCCTGCTATTCAATATTGAAATATACTGTAATTCCCTTGGAAAAGTAACTTACCTTAAGGAACAATTTCACTTAACAGACAAAGACTATTTATTTACTCTGAGTTTCCCGCAAGGTTGTCTGTTTTTTGTTTTTGTTTAAAATGGTTTCAGAACATGGAGAAGTAAGACCATCCTCAACTGAAAGGAAAACAAAAACAAAAATCAGGGACTTTAAAATTCTTCAATGAATTCCTTTGCTTCAAAATGTAAAACTGTCCCAGCAAGAATGTCAAAAAGTGTCAGCACAGAAGGATATGTATTTTACTGAAAACATTCTCTCCATAACGTCCAAAGAATGCACAGAGAATGAGCTGCTCTTATTTATATGACAATGTCTGTATTTATCATATTTTCAAGTATGCTTAACAATCCAATACCATTTTCTAAAAGATGTCTTAGTTAGACTAAGACTCCTAACCCACCTGCTCTTTTAGCTCACGAGTCTTGATTTGGAGAAAAATGTCCTTTATGTTTCTGTGAAGACTGGCTTTATTTCTAATTAAGTGGGAGTTTAGAATTAGAGGTAAACCTGGCGGCAGGTCCTGAGCAGCAGCAGCAAAGTAAAAATGACAAATAGCAGTTCCCCACTTAAGAAAATAACATTCTGTTGATTGACCAACACCCTTTAAATTTTAGCTCTTAACAACTCTTACAGAAACAGGAACTGCCAATAACAAACCTGATTTCCAACGTCCCCAAGGTAATAATAATCCACTAATTTGACTACATCCCAGCTGGCCCTCTGTAACAGTTTCTCTCTGGTTTTTGAAGCAGAGAGGCCTTATCTTTGGAGGAAAAAAAAAAAAAAAAGAAAACACACACAGGGAGGGTGGGCAGTGAAGTTAAGGAGTGTGGAGAGAAAACACATGGAAATTTAATGTGAAAGTTTCTTGTTTCAATAAAGCTGTTAGGTTTGGCATGAAGACTGTTATCAGATGGTTCCTTTGACATTACTTGAGCCTTTCAGTAAGTAAGACAAGCCTGAAGGATTAGGTTGTCAACTTCAGCCTGTCATCTTTAGGAAGGGAAAAAAAAGTTTCTTTATTTTTTCTTTCTTTTTTTTCTGGTTGCATCTTCCTTCACCAGCTTTGGGGACTGCAGGAGAGGCATTTAAGGTGTAGAAGACAACTCCGATCCCACACTGATCATGAATGTTCTGCTTTTAAAGATGAGTGAGCCAGCTGAGCTCTAAGGCTAATCACCCTGGGCAAGTATGAATTTATCTAAAGAGGATTTCATGTGGAACCCCCTGAGCCGGCCGCCAAACGGATGACTGCACACTTTAAGAAAGTTAGTGGGCCTTCTCCCAATCAACTGTCAGGCCACATAAAAGGTTTGGAACGTGCTGACTTAAGCAAACGATATTTAGCCATCTAAGGAGACCAGACGGCCCAAGATTTTGCTTTGTTGGAGCTGACAGGAAATATTGATACGTATCAAGTAACACTCCTGATGTAAAAGGGAAGATGTGATTCTTTTCGGCACTATCTCTATTTACAAAACTGTCTTGTGCTTTGGAAAGAAGGTGGGGGCAGGGGAAATGCCAAAGCCAACACTTCACTTGGGTCTTTGCCAGCTTTCCTGGGACCACAATTTTGTGAAAATAGAAATCGAACTACATCTACCTTTTTTTTTTTTTTTGAAACAAAAGGTGTTAGAATTGGAATCTGCAGACCCTCTGAATGTTTAGATGATGGGTGGACCTTGTCCATCACCCCAAATCTATCCCTTGAGTTGATTAACTTAGAAAGCCTGCCATGGATTATGTTTTGGTGTATAGTATGCCGGAGTGTCTTCCAAATCTCTGGCTCTCAGGCCTGAAAATCAAATGCTCTGAACAGGTCCTAGGAATTGAAGTTCTGTTTTCATGAGTAATAATGTTCATGATCCAAATGATTCATCACTTTCAGTATTTAAACTACATGGGTTGGGCGGAGGGTAATCTAATGTCCTGTACTGGTAAAGTCTAATGGGAACACCGAGGTTTTACCATAGAATAAAGGTTGAGTTGGAGGGTTTCATTTAAAAGGGGAAAAAAAAAAAACCACCCTATTTTATCAGAAGACTAAACGTTCTCCATCAGTAATGTTGTGCCTGAGGTGATACCTTGAAGATGCTGGAGGTGGCAGTGTTAATGAAACACCCGTTGGCACTAAACAGCATTTCTAGAATCCTGATTGTAGCACTAGAAAGGAAAGTGAAATTTGTAACAGCACAATAAACAAGGGAAACTGCAGAAAAGAACCTGCTTGTTCTGAGAGGAAGATCGCTTCCAGTTAAACAAAGAAATTTAGGGTCGTCTGCTTTTCATGAAAATCGCATACATATGGCCTTTGAAATTTGTCACTGAAGACGTTTTTTTGCTCTAAGGTAAAATTCACCACTTTATAGCTTTTCAGCTGCAAATCTCTGGCTTTTTTTTTTTTTCTTTTCTCTTTTGGCCTGCAGCCCAATATGAATGTATGATCACTAGCACAATAGTTAAACATCTGAGTCTTTTTGAAGTGCCTTCAATGTTTCAATGATGTGATGGTTGATTGCCTAGCTGTCCCTTTAGAAAAGAACTTCATTCTGCCCCCTAGTGGTAGAGATTAAAGTTTAATGACTACTTCATAATACAATAAAGCCTTCCTGCTCCACCTTTTCCCATATTTTAAAGAACATTCTGTAGGGTGGGAAGTACTGATGAGTTTCCTCATAATCAGTAAAATGTATATTTTTCAAAGGAAAACTATACTGAATGGATTGTTCTGCAAGTCAGAGGACCATTTCATATGCCTTTCATGCATTTTGTTGTATACACTGCCACTATACACTGTCATTGTTCCCACCACCAGATCCCTCCTGGAAAAATTCTGCAACATCTTAATGGAAGCTTTTAGCCCAGAAATGTATGTTATCGCCAAAATAATTGGAGGAAGAGAAAGCATTCCCTATTGTCAGATGTTGTGGAAGTTTACCTTACTTCTCAGATGACTGTTTTTGAACAAAAGGTAACCGAAGCAATTCTCACTAATTACAGCGCCAGTTACTTCACAGGTCACATTTCCTTAGGGTTCCAGTTCATAAAGTAAGGCATGTATCCCCAGCATAAAAAAGGCTTGTGATGCCGACAAGATTTTTGACATGGGAAATGTTGATCATGCCCGGTTCTTTTGGAGCTGACAACAAAGTAGAAGGGATTTGTTTGGGTTTTTATCCTGTCCTGGCTGTGTTTTCTTTATGTATTTATTTTTTAATCTTTCGTGGAGGGTTCATATGCTGCATGCAGGTGGAGCATATGAAAGCACGTGAAATCAAGCCCTCGGAATGGAGCAACCGTCCAAGGAGCGTGTGTGTTTAGGTCTTGCAGAAGCGAAAGCTCACGAGGAGGGAGATGGAGAAGGCTCCGGAGAAGGAGGGCTCCACGGAGAGTGGACAGGGCCTCTGGACCGTGTGTAATGTGTCAGCTCGCGTCTGTGCCACCATTGTGCAGCTGATGCTGGAATGCAGGGAAGGCGCTGGTTTACTGAATGAGGAGCCATGTAAATTCCAGCTGTCAACATGTGATCAGTCCTTCGGACAAAGAGGGAGGTTTTCTCCTTACCCACATTTGATTTCTAGTCACAGCTACACGTGTTCCCTGAGTTCTTCTGCTGACCACGCTGTGTCTCTGGGTCGCCCTTGGTCACCCCTCCCTTCTCAGACTGCCTCTACAGGTTCAGTACCTGGCTTGTGA